GTGCATCTTCTTGTTGCGCTCTTGACTGGAGCTCTTTCCGCCTCACCCTTGTCGCGGAACAGGGAAGGCGGAGAAATCTGTGATGAGGAAAGAGGAGGCGGAACGGTTTCCCCAGATGAGAACCGTGTTTAGCGAGAGTTACGTTGTAATAAGGCGCTACCGAAACATGACGAAATAAGATGGAGAACTTCGCCATGGCCGTATAAGGAATGAAGGTGCACATGGGGTGTAGGAAATCTTTAGCATGATATGTAATCATTTGAAGCTACGAGCAGGTTCTGACAAGTGGTCTTCTATCATATTTGCCCTGAATAAGTAGCATTGTTAAAGCCGCGGTGCAGATATCTTAGGAACAGTGACAAGCAGTTTTTTGTCTTGTTCCTTCCTGGTCGCCAATTGGCTAGCGAGAGAGTAGATAATGTTGCGATGAAGAGAAAAAGGAAACAACTGAGGCGAACGTCGCGAACCTCGAAAGTGAGGGGGAAGGGGAAGGGGTGGGGGGGGGGGAAGGGGGAAACACACACGACAACGCGAAAATCGGAACCCATGAATACACCGTCATCTCTACATTGCATAACGAAAGAGTTTGTATTTCAAATAAGATGAGTACTACACAAATATAATATTCTGCGACTCAAAGGCACATTCTAGGATTTCAGAAATATCAAAGTTTGGGGTGGTTGTTTCATTTCTTTTTTTTTTGGGGTGCAACGAATGTACACATGGCAGGCAAACATGAGTGTCTTTAAATCCAACATGGCATCTCCAAGATGAGCTAAACTTCACACCCCTCTGATCCATTATTGATGCAGCTGTCCACCGATAGCAAGGGGGGAGGGGGGTAGGGAAGGACACCAGCCGTAGAAGTGAAAAATGTTCGATGGGGAAATTGAATGGAGGGTTGGCAGAAACAGTGGGGTGCGCGAAGGTTCAAAGTGGTGGGGTGGGTGAAGGGAAGTAGTAGGGTGGGTGAAGGGATGGCCGGGAGAGGGGTGAATGGTGGGATGGGATAGGGGGAAAGGGAAGGGATGGGAGAAAGGGAAAGGAAGGGTTTAGGAATCGGGGGATGCCTTGAAAGGACAAGGGTAGGGTAAAGGGTGGATGGTGGGGGAAGGAGGGACGGACACCGATGGAAGGAGGGACGGGGACGGGGGGAAGGTTTGAACGGTAACGGGGGAAAGGAGGGACGGCGGGAGTGGGGGAGAGGAGGATTGGTGGTGGAGAGACGGTGGGAGCGAGCCGCTTGCTACCGTCGCGCCCAATCCTGCCTCCTGGGAAGGGCAAGAGGCTAAAGTATCGACGGACAAGGGGAGTTCGGGAATGGGGAGGCGTGAAACCGAAGGATGTGGCATAGGAGGAACAGATGCTTCGCCACCGTCGGAACAGATGCTTCGCCCCGCTGCTCGCTAACGACACCCTGCTGCACACTAACGTCGCCCCGCTGCTCGCTACTGTCGTTATCGCTGCTCACTATCGTCATTGCGCTGCTGTCGCCATGCTGTTCGCTACCATCGCAACCCTGCTCGCTGCCGTCGCAACCCTGCTCGCTGCCATCGCAAACCTGCTCGCTACCGTCGCCGCTCTGCTCGCTATCGTCGCCCCGCTGCTGGCTACCGCCGCACTCAATCCTGCCTGTCGCCATCGTCGCTGCTTGCCACCGCCGATTCGTGAGAAATAGAGGGACGGGAGAGGGAAAACTGAACGACGACAGCGGAGGAAATCTAGCGCAATGCGCTACGGGTACGACTGCCGTAGTGTTTTTTGAGGTACGAAATAGCGCAGATATTCGAGCGCACACTAAAAGGCGAAGAAGAGAGATAGATATGAGGCGAATGGCTCTCAGTAGCCCTACGGGAAGGCACTTCAAGTTAGTAGTAACCTAGCCTAGCGCGAGAGATTGCCGTGTTTGAGTAGTTTTGAGTTCAAGTTTCAAGTTTCAAGTTTGATGCCTGGCCCCCCCTTCATGCTGTTGTGCGGTGCTTTTCCGCAAGCCCTCCCCAGCTTCCCCCCCACTCATCATGCTGCGAGGCACTTTTCCGCACGACCTTCCCCCGCTCTCAGAATGCTCTGCCTGCTCGACTTCCAGTGTATACTGGGTAACGCGCCCTTCAAGCTATAATACTTTGAACTGGCGCAGAGATATCTGCACCGCGGCTTTAACATAACATATCACAGACCCTTAAATTTACAAAAATCTGATGATTTGGTACGTAAAATCAGCCATACATATATGCGCATAAAATAATTATTTAAAATCTAAATGATTGATGCCCATACATACAGGTCAGGGTTTAGGGTCAATACTGCAGTTCAGTATTTAAGCTGGTATTAGGTTCTCTACTGGCTTGTATTGGGATTGTAGACCTGTGAGTATATTGGTGCAGCCATTGGTGAGGATGTACGAAGAGCTGACAAAGGTATTTGGTTCTGTCGTTCAGCGGGGAGGGCATGAGCAGCCAGGCTTCATCGGAGGTCTGGTTTGTTTGATCGTTGATGAAAC